TTTATTAATAAAAAACAAGTAAGCAAAGGCTACAGTCGAGCGGGGCCGACCGTTGAATACCCTACAACACTATAATAAATGATACAGTTTATATAGGCGAGATACTCGAAAGAATTCCACAAGATATTGTGACAAATAATAAAAGAAAACCATCAGGTTTCGTTCTTTAATGTTCAAATAATAGCAACTTAAACTAATTTGCTCATTTCCAATTTATTGTTAGATGTTGCACTTAAATGGTCTTCCTAGATCTGGAACCAATATTTCCCAAAGACCTATAATCTCTCAGAAATGGCAAAAGATTAACATTTATTATTGGTTTTTGACTGAAACGCATCTATATGAGATACAGACATTTGACTATATTCTTCAACGAAATCAGCGTTAACGAAATAGTCAGAAGTGCGTCTTTCCTGTATTTGTGAATTCTCCAAAAAGTCACTGGAATGGACATTTTCGTATTTTGCTTGAGGATCGGGCAATAATTACGACCTGCTGACAATTTTGCAGTTTTTTGGTCCATTTCAACCCCTAAATATATGGCGATCATCTCCAAAAAGAGTAGGCTTCTATTCTGACCCTCATCTGATCCCCATGCAAAATTTCGTTAGGATCGGGCCATAAATGCGATCTGTATATGATATCCTGATATCCTAACTACTTAGTTTTGTTAGCTGTAGAAATATTACCAAATGTTTAGTTCAAAATGAAAATATGCCAAAAATATGACAAAATTGAAAAAATATGAGAAAATTTTACAAAATCAATATTTTCATCTTTAGAGAGATATTTTTATGCGATTTTTTAGACGTTGTTTTTTTCCTGCCAAGAGGCCATTCTGAATTAATGAGAACTGTGGAAATCAGTTCAGCCGTTCTCGACATGTAAGAGATATTTCAAGCATATCTTCTTTGATAGACATATATATCGCACATATTTTGCTATATATCCATTTTGCTGGATGTTAACATCAATGTAAAGATCAGAAGTAACCTTGTCATGGCCTTGTGATTTTGTCGGCATTTAAAATATTCGCGGTTTAATGAAAAATTTTGAATTTTTTCAACACAAAAGATATGGTCTATTTTACCCGCTAAATATTATCCGATGACCACCCAAATTGGTAGGCTTCATCCCCGCCCTAAACTCTAGCTACATGCGAAGTTCCGCGTCGATTGGTCTATAATTGCGACCTGTATAGCTACTGCAAAATCCGACATTTTTTCAGTATTTGGTCCATTTCGACCCCTAAATATTATGCGATCATCTCCAAAAGAAATAGGGTTCTATTCTGACCCTAGCCCCACCTCCATTCTAAATTTCGTGAAGATCGGGCCATAATTGCGACCTGTAGAGTGATTACAAATTAACATGGACAGACGGACGGACGGACATACATAGCTAGATCGACTCAACTCGGCGAGATAGGAAGATCCATATATTCTTTCCTATGTGGGAAATCAATATTTCGAGGTGTTACATAATTTTTGGCCCAACCAAACTTATAATACCCCCAACACATAGTCCGTAGAACACATTCAACAATCTTATTAACATAAAAAATTCCTTCCATAAAATTTGAATTTAATGATACGAACAAATGAAGGTCAAAAATAAGAGAAAATCTTCATCATCTCACTAACAATCAGAACGAAGTTGTCTGTTAATACAAAATTTCTGCAAAAGAGTGGAATTCGAGTAAATAAATAACGTCTTGCGATCACTTGCAACTTATTTTTATCTTGCTGTTTTGGATTATCTAGTAATTTATTTTTGTAATATAAACGGAATTCGGTGACCAATTTCCATGGTAGAAGAATATAAGTAGACGCGTCGACACAGCTGCTGGGACAATGAACTGTCAAACCAATTTTGGAATTGAAAATGTTGAATGAAAAATTATTTAAATTTGTAAAATTTTTTGAAAAACGCGAATTATAATAGCCTCCGACTGACGTAGTATAAGAAAACATATAAAAATCTACTTATATTTGAAAAAAATTTAAATTTTTTTGACATATCAATGCTCCCAAGCTTTGATGCATCTACCTGTATTCTTCGGCCTTGCCAATTTCGAAACACATATGCATCTAATGAATATTGCATTTAATGAATATTGTAATTTGGCGTAACAGTGCTATCATTTTTGTATAATAAAAAAAAATCATTAAGTTCGGCGGGCCGAATTTTTAATACCCTCCACCTTTTGAGTAAATATAACATTTTTCTATAAAAGTATCTGAATTCAATCGAATTTCTCTTTAAACTATAAATACCAATAAGACCATTTGGATAATGCTTTTAAACTTTTTAAAAAACCATAACGTGGGTGAAGCCGTTATATGGGACCATACCAAAACGGAAACCTCTATAGAAAATGTTATACTTCAAGGATTTTCGTTTACCAAATCTTATTAAATATCAAATTTGAAACAATTTCGTGGGTAAATGTGACTAGGATTATCACAACACCGAATATCGGTGGGTATCGATGACAGAACATATTCAATGTTCCGCCACCGGAGCTAGAACCCATTGCGAACTACAAATACCAATTTTTAGACAAATCCATCAAAATACTGAATATACGGAGGTACAATTATTTGGGGGCAGAACAAAAACGTGGACCAATGCTAACTTTGTTCCGCCACAGCAGCTAGAACCCATTGTGAACTATAAATACCAATTTTTAGACAAATCATGTGGCAAAAATCATTAAAACTCCGAATATCAGGAGATACCCTTAATGAGGGCTATACTATGTTCCGCTACCGGAGCTAGAATCCATTACAAACTACAAATACCGATTTTTAGACAAATTCGTGGGAAAATGTAACGAATATCGGGAGGTACCGTTGTATGGGGGCTATACAAAACTTGGAGCTATGCAATGTTACAATGTTCTGCCACCGGAGCTAGAACCCATTGCGAACTACAAATACCAATTTTTAGACAAATCCATCAAAATACTGAATATACGGAGGTACAATTATTTGTGGGCAGAACAAAAACGTGGACCTATGCTAACTTTGTTCCGCCACAGCAGCTAGAACCCATTGCGAACTATAAATTCCAACTTTTAGACAAATCATATGGCAAAAATCATTAAAACTCCGAATATCAGGAGGTACCGTTAATGAGGCCTATACTATGTTCCGCCACTGGAGCTAGTATCCATTACAAACTACAAATACCAATTTTTAGACTAATTCGTGGGAAAATTTGACAAAAAATCATACAATTATCGAATATCGGGAGGTACCGTTGTATGGGGGCTATACAAAACTTGGAGCTATGCAATGTTTCGCCACCGAAGCTAGAACTCATTATGATTTACAAAAAAACAAACCTGTAAAAAATATGGCGAAAATCATCAAACTAGAACCCATTATGATTTGCAAATAAGAAATCCGTAAAAAAATATGGCGAAAATCATACAAATACCGAATATCGGGAACTACCGTTATATGGCGGCTTTACCAAAATGAGGACCGATACAGTATACTATATAATTATAATATAATATAATATAATATAATATAATATAATATAATATAATATAATATAATATAATATAATATAATATAATATAATATAATATAATATAATATAATATAATATAATATAATATAATATAATATAATATAATATAATATAATATAATATAATATAATATTATATAATATAATATAATATAATATAATATAATATAATATAATATAATATAATATAATATAATATAATATAATATAATATAATATAATATAATATAATATAATATAATATAATATAATATAATATAATATACTTTGTGGGGTCTACGACGAATATTTAGGGATGATACAAACAGATTGACAAAATTAATATACCCTCCTTTTCATGGTGGAGGGTATAACAAGGATAGGTGTTTTCCGTATGTGAAAATCGCTCTAGCTTCCGAACGAATTGATGTAGGTTGATAAAATTTTACTCAAATGTATGTTCTGCCTGCAGGACTTTTGGTACTGAAAATGGGCCATGTAAGTCCACGTTTAGTTATAGTCTCCACATAATCTCCCGATATTCGACCTTTTGATGATTTAAGCGACATTATTCACCGGATATGTTTAAAATTTGCTATTTGAAGTTCGTAATGGGTACTACAGCCAATGACAGAAAATTGTCAGTGCGGGCCAACGCCTTCGTATAGCCCCCATATAACGGTACCTCCCAATATTCGGTATTTTGATGATTTTAGCGACATTATTAACCGGAATTGTTTAAAATTTGGTATTTGAAGTTCGTAATGGATACTACAGCCTATTAGAGAAAATTGTCTGTACATGTCCACGTCTTCCTATAGCCCCCATATAACGGCACCTTCCGATATTTGGTATTTTGGTGATTTTAGCGACATTATTCATCGGAATTATTTCAAATTTGGTATTTGAAGTTCGAAATGGATACTACAACCTATGTCAAAAATGTTAATATGCAGGTCCACGTCTTCGTATAGCCCCCATATAACGGTACCTTCCGATAGTCGGTATTTTGACGATTTCAGCAACATTATTCACCGGAATCGTTTAAATTTCGTACTGGAAGATCCTAATGGGTACAACAAACTAAGACAGAAAATTGTCGTGCAGGTCCACGTCTTCGGTACACCGTATTTTCATGATTTTTGCGTCCGTAATGGGCACTACAGCATAGTCCAATATATAACGGGTTTCATTTAAGTGGTAGTTTTCGGGAGGTTATTAAAAGTTCGGCCCTGCTTTTTACCAAAGAATATAATTTTTATCTGACAATTTTTACAAAAAACCAAAACTAATTTTTTAACAAAGGACAGATTTGAGTAAGGTTTGTGCAACATAAGTGCCTCTCATGCATTATTGAAAAATTCTTATGATAAACTATTTTTATAATATTTATTCTAAAGCTGTATTGTATTTTTGGTATGTTGAGTATATTTATATTTTAAACATTTTCATTAATTTATATAATGAATTCTCATTTAGAAATAAAGATAATCCAAATAACACGAAGCATTTAAAATTACTAATTTAAAATATGTGTGTTACGAATTAATCTCCGTGTTTTGGAACTCCTCCAAAGTGTGATTGTGGAAATTTAAAAAGTTGAAAAAAAAAAAGAAAACAACGCCCAACACAAGCCAAAATATGTCGGTTCATAATATACCAGGTTTATGTCCAGACTACTTGAAAAATTCTTCCAATATGAAACCAACATCACCACTGCTTCCCGAATAACCAATTTCAACTGCAATTTGAACTTCCGCAAAGTAATAAAACCAAAATTATAATGTCATTTTTATATGCGGAAACCCAAAACAAATAAGTATGACAAACCATAAACCGAGCAAATACATCTTCCTATTGTCCTGAAACTGTGCCAAAACACAACAAAAACAAACAAAGAAAAAAAGAAAACGCAAACCGCCAAATTGAAATAATCCCAAATTGTGCCATCAACAAAATAAAATAAAATTAGAAAAAAGAGTGGATTACAATGCTGATGATGATTACGTGTTGTGATAAAACCTAAGAGCATGTGGAGTAGTATAGTTCAAGACCCAATTGAAATGAGTGTAAAATCTATATAGATAAAAATATTGTAATATCCATAAAACAAAGTCAGCGTTGCCAATAACAATTCAAAGAGAAAAAAATCCAAGAAGTTATGCAACAATCAACTCGCCATAACTGTTGTCGTCAAACCGCCACATTGTGTTTGAAAGAGCAGATCCTGAAAACACAATCTACCGCCAACGCTGGTCCAGCCGTCGCATTGAGAGCTGTTGGAAAAATTGAAGAGTTCTTTTTGATCCCATACCGAGAGCATATTGAAAATCTTCTTCTCAATGAAGAATGAAGAAACAAAATGTTCGCACGATATCTTTGATCGTGTGCACATTTACCTATTTACTAGTTGGAGCTGCTGTATTTGATGCTCTCGAATCGGAAACGGAAACTCTACGTTGTGAAGCACTTCAAGGTAAGTTTCGCGGAATTTAGATATTTTGAAATATTTTTTAAATAAAAGTTAAATTCAATTTTACATTCCACACAGTAACGAGGGACGGTTTTATAAGAGCTTCATCAAATAATTGATTTCATTTTTAACTTTAATAAGGTGAGAGAATACATAAGAGGATTTTTTTCCTGGCATAAGTCACCGGCTCTGTATTTCGTAAAAGTACAAAGGACTTAAGGGTGACCAAGTTTATTTTATGAGCCGAAACTGCACTTAGTCAACCTAAATTGTTTTTTTTTAAAGTCCGTCGATGGCTTATGAGAGAAAAAAATCTATGCAAACTTGTGTAATTATTCAGTTCAATTGGGCGCCATTTGTACTTGTCTTCACCCAGATTAGCATGAAATGAAGATCATTACATGTTTATGGTGTAATGTCTTATGGTTAAATATCTAAAGGATATATATATTCATACCAGCGTTTTTGCAGTTCTACAGGGTGGGATAAAAAAAACTGCAACAAAGTCAAACGTCATAATTTTTACGTTTTTATTTTTAATTTTATTGAATGAAAGCAAAAAATGGCGCAAATAGCATCAAAATTCAGAATAAGTTTAGATTCGTTCGAATTGGTCACCTTTGGCACGAATTATGGCCTTCAAACGGCCAATGAAACCGTCACACGCTGCCCGAATGTTGCTCTGCGGTATTTTGGCCCATTGAGGTGATCGCTTGCTTGAGGTGATCGACACATTGGCATTTTTTAGTGCCAACCTTGCTTTCCAAAATACTTCAGACACAATAGTCTAACGGATTGGTATCCGGAGATTTTGGTGGTCATTTTGCGCTGGAAACCTCATTCTGTAACCATTCTTGGTTGGCGCGTGTTGAGTGCGACGGTGCTGAGTCCTATTGGAATGTCCAAGGTCTGCGGCCAAAATGTTTGCGTTCCAAAGGCTTTAATTCAAACCCTCCAGAATATTTTCGCGATAATATTCGATATTTATTCTGATGCCACGCTCGATAATAACGAGCGGAGAGCAACCATCGGCAGTTATGGCGGCTCACACCATCACCATGGCCGGCGCTTGGGTTCTGGTGGCCAACCGAAGGTGCATATTTTCAGCTGACCTCTTTGACAACGAATGTTTTCTCATCGGAGAAAACCAAATTTGGCAGTTCACCACCTTCAGCTACGCGAAGCAACTCTTCAGCTCTTTTGAGTCTATTTTCTTTCTGTTGCCGTGTAAGTTCTTGCACTTTTTGGAATTTCAATGGCTTTACCCCCAGCTCATTTTTCAATATTTGCCGAATGGAATATTGCGATATGTTCAGCTCACGAGCCATTTTTCGCCCACTGCAATGCGGGTTTCGATCAAGTCGCTTCTTTACTTTTCGAGCCATTTCTACTGATGTTGCTGTTTTCTTCCGTTCACTTCCACTTCCTTAACGTCGGGCTACGATACTAGTATCACGGTAACGAGCGATGGTATGGGACACAAAACATTTATTCACATTTAAATGCTGGAGTGCTCTTACGATAGCCACTTGTGGTTTTCCAGCCAAATATAAAGATAGCACACTACCACGCTTGAATTCAATCACGAATAACTTTTTTCTGGAAAATTATTTTTATTTTGTACGCTTGTAAACGATATAATGAGCTGTTACTGGAATACGGACGAGTGGCTTAGAAATGACAGCAGTCAGAAATTGGTTGTAGTTTTTTCCTCTCACCCTGTATATTTCCATACTAGCCGTTTTGCAGTTTTTACGTCCGAGGAATATGGAAATGCCCACCACAAAATTCCCACTCACTCAGTTAATTACAGTTTTAAAGTAATGAAACTGCATTACCGTGTAAAAGAAAAAAAAACAACTTAAAACTTTTGGCGTATCGATGTTCCCAAACGTTGATGCATCTACCTGAATTCTTCTACCATGATTTTAACCAATACATGGTATAAGAACACAAGTAGGTGCATCAACGCTTGAGAACATTGACGTGTCAAAAATGCTTAAATGTTTTTTCAAAAATAAATAGATTTGTATATGTACAAAAAATACGACGCCAATCGGAGGTTGTATGATATGGGTTTTTTAATTTACAAATTTGAATAATTTTTCATCAATAATTTCAATTTCAAAATTGGTTTGACAGTTCATTGTTCCAGCAGCTGTGTCGATGCGATTACATGTATTCTTCTACCTTGTACCATTCTTCTACTTTTCAATAACCGATTACTCAAAAGTCGACTTACGTATCCCTATTATTTGAGTCGTCAGCAGTAGGAAGGAGCAAATTTTGCAAATTTTTACTCTGTTTCAGAACCTGCAAGGATTTACTTGTTTTGCATTTTTTTTCGATATTTTGTATCGAAAATGAATAGAATTTTTCATTTAAAATAGTTTTTCTCATTTATAAAAATTTAAAAAAGTGCATAGCATAAAAATCTTCGTTTGGCGTCGCATTTGAAACAATTAAAAATCTACATTTTTCAAAAAACAAAAAAAATGTACATATCAATGTTCCCGCATGGCATGGTAGAAGAATATAGGTAGACGCATCGACACAGCTGCTTGGACAATGAACTGTCAAACCAATTTTGGAATTGAAAATGTTGAATGAAAAAATTATTTAAATTTGTAAAAATTGTTGAAAAACTCGAAATATAATAGCCTCCTAATGACGTAGTATAAGAAAGTATATAAAAATCTACTTATATTTGAAAAAAATTTTTTGACATATCAATGCTTCCAAGCGTTGATGCATCTACCTGTATTCTTCTGCCATGTACCATGGTATGTGCTTTACTTGTGTATTTAACAACTGAAATGTCGTCTATGTTTCAAACGATATGTGCCACTTCTACATATAGAAAATTAAATATAATATATTTAAAAAACGTTTCGTCTGATAGAGTTAGTTGTAAATTGAAATTAGACAATTGTTTTGGCATAAGTCTCCAGTCTACAATTTGATACTTATAGAAATGTTTAGAGTTTTGGAGTTTTCGTATGGGAAAGTTTAAAAATTCAGGATTTTTCTATTAGAAAACTTGATAATTGGAGACATTCCTTACAGATTGGAGACATTCCTTTAAAATGGTAGACTTTTTAAAATAGAAAAGTTTATAAATGGAGGTTTTCGATTATAAAAAAAAGTTTATTACTTTAGAATTGGAGACTTTCATAACAGAAATTTTACATTTGAAGAATTTTATTTTTGAAAACTTGAGGTCTACAATTGGAGATTTTTCTCTTAAAAAGTAACCGATTGGTAGCATTTCTGTAGATACACTACAACTGATGATTTTGATCATCAAATAATGTTCAATTGGAGACTTTTTGAAAAATCTTTAAAATGCGATTTTTTTGAATAGTCTTAAATTAAAAAAAAAAATATTGAAGAGTTAACACATTAAATTTTTCTCAAAGAAAAAAATTAAATTGCATTAAAAGTATACTTTTAATGGCTCCAGTGACCCATAACCATACCTAACGCAGGCGTAGTTTTGAATCAGGATCATGGTAGAAGAATACAGGTAGTCTCATCGACACAGCTGCTGGAACAAAGAACTGTCAAACCAATTTTGAAGTTAAAAATCGTGAATGAAAAATTATTCAAATTTGTAAAAATTGTTGAAAATACATATCATTACAACCTCCGATTTGCGTCGTATAAGAAAACATATAAGAATCTACCTATTTTTGACAAAACACTTTAAAAAAATTGACATATCAAAGTTCCCAAGCGTTGATGAATCTTTCTATATTATTTTACCATGATCAGGATCATTCTAGTCACTATAAAATATCAACTCTGCAATTTGACTCTCTAACGTTTTTATACCCTACACCACAAGGTGGTCAGGGTATTATGTCTTTGTGCATTTGTTTGTAACAGGCAAAAGAAAACGAGATAGACCCATAGTTCCTTTTGATTATCTGTATAGAATCACATTCTGAGTCGATTTATGCATGTCCGTAAACAAAGTACAGGTCGCATTTATTGGCCGATCCAGATGAAATTTTGCACAAATCATTTGTTTGATCCCTTTTGAAATTGGAGAGAATCGGTCAAAATTTAGATATAGCTCCCATATATACCTTCGTCCGATTTGCTTATTATTGTGCGCCAGACGTGTAATATCAGCCCAAATAGTATGGAATTTTGCACATACGACAAAATTAGGCCTTAAAAAAGTATGCCGAATTTGATCGAAATCGGTTTAGATATAGCTATAGCTCCTATATATATATTGTTCATCTGATTTGTTATTATTGTTCTCCACAGCCGTAATATGCACTTTGTAACAACTATATTTGGGGAAATACAGTATTTTTTGCTTACCTGCACAATCAAAAATTGCACGACATCTTGTGCAGCAATGCCCAAAATGCAGGTAGCTTCATTGCATTTATCTGCACAATGAAGCAGGTATCTTTAATTTTACTTACGTGCACAAAAAGTGCAGGTATCTTTAATTTTCTATTCGTGCACAACAAAGCAGCAGCAGCATAACCATCTTTTAGTGTGGGAGAGGAAGCGAGAATATGTTTTAATGCATGCTCTTTTCTTGTGTTGTTATTGTTTTTGCGAATACAAAAACAAAAACGAAGTGGTAGTTTTTAGTGTCTTTTTTTGAGTTTGCAAAAAATTTTCTTGTGCAGATAAATACAACTTTTGTAACCAAATTAAAAAAAAATTACCAAATTTTCGAGGCAGGAATGTCCAATGTGCAGCTATCGATTGGGCACTTAAATACAATTCAAATAAAGGGATTCAGAAAAAAGTGGCATAAAAAAAGTTTTTTGGTCTGCAAAGGCCAATGCGCAGCTAATGTTGATGCAGGTAAATAGAAACCACTGTATATCAAATACAGCTCGGAAATACTTTTGCTAGATTTTATAAAGATCGGTTCAATTCGTTAGATTTGACTTTTTTTGTGCACCAAACGTGTAATATTAGCCCAAATGGAATGGAATTTGGCACTTACGACCACACTGCATCTAGAAACAAGTATGCCAATTTTGGGTCCTGCACAGCCGTAATATATACTCCGTAGTAACGATTCAGGGAAATATATCAAATACAGTTTAGAAATACCTTTGCCAAATTATATCGAGATCGGTTCAGATTTAGATATAGCTCCCACATATATTTATCCGATTTCGAGTTAATTGAGCACCAAATGGCTAATACAAGCCCAAATTGAAAAGACACAAATGCCTCGGCAAATTTAGTAGAAATTGGTTCAGATGAGGATATTCCTCTCATATATTAGTTCCTTTAACTTAAAATTATAACTGTAAACCGGGATCAATAACTAAAAAACGCAAAGTCTTTACCATTTGTAAGACACTGAATTTATTTATTAAAAGAACATTTCTTAAGAACTAGTTATGATAATATGACTTAACCTAAATTATCATTAAGTGTAAATGAGAGAGATAGATAGATACCAACTGTACACATGTATATGCACCATGCCACCATAAACCTTAAGGGGAGGTCATACACACGCATAGCTATCTCACATGTGGCAAGCAAACATGCTGCTCTTGCTTATCAGAGTGAGTAAAAATTACATCCCATAATCTTACTTCACCATAACACATGCAGCAATTGAAAATTCTGTATTATTTATTTCTAACTCGAAGGTCTGCTCACCACATTTTCTTATCTTATTTCATGTGGACTGTATTAAGAAGATCCTGTTTAACAAATCCCTCTCATCTACACTAGGTAGCACTGCTATTATCTTTTATTATAAAAACATGTTCTCTTATCCGTGAACAATAACTATAATCATAGTATGATTTAATTATCGCAAATTCCTTTTATTTGTAATTTTTAGCTCTACTAAATATCTAAAATGGTGTAAGATATCAAAAAGTCGGCTTCGCCCGACTTTATGACTTTGTTTAAAGTTTTTTCTTTTTTTGATTTTCCTGAAAAATCGGTAGAGTTAAAACACAGAATTATGAATGAAAAGTCTAAATTTAAGTTGACAGCACTGTTGCTATGGTTAGGCCTCACAGTACGTTAAGATGTACGATATTCACTTCATCTCAAATGGCAAATAGAGTATACGTCAAATATTATCGATCGGATTTATGAATACGATTTACGTGACGTATACGCCTTGAAATTGACACTTGAAATCGAGTGGATTTAGTAGTTAATTACCGAAATCGTAAACATTTTAATTTTACAAATTTTTCCGGTAATTCAAAATAAAACAGATTGAGACAGTCGCACTACTGTGATCTATAAATCTGTAGGCTTTGCGAGCTAGTGCTGATTTATTTTAAAACTTTATTTATAATTTTCCATGTCAAAAGTATTACAATAATACCCGAAATAACGTACAGGGTTGCCCATATTCGACGGGCCTTTGGGCCCATTCCAATCGACGAGGCTTGTCCGCAGGCAACATTCTTTGCGTCAATTGAATTTTGTACGGGAACAAATGCAAATCAATGCGAATAATCCGTTGTAAAGTGGACCGAGCCATGCCCAACTGCTGAGAACGGCGTTTTTGGGATGTTCTTGGGGGCCTCTCAACACTGGCTCGTGCGGCAGCGATATTCTCGGCCGATCGCCTTAGTCGACTTTTATATGGCCTCTTCGGATTAGAAAGAGCCTTACCAGTCGAAAATTCTTCGTATAAACGCTTAATGGTGTTCTTAGAAGGCGCACTTCTCACATTTTTTTTCACAATTGACTTCTTCTGTTGAATGTAAATTTCAGAGCGCTCGCGTGGCGTGTATTTGTTCATGGTAAAAATCTGCTTGGACTGACGCTTCAAACGCGGTATGTCATTAAGCGATGTGACATCTCTGTCAAAAGTTATGGCGTTGCCAGATGGGTCCGTCGAATATGGGCAACCCTGTACATAAATACTTACCTTCTCCAATCTGGTGAAATGTTTCGTAAATTTAACCCCAATACGCAAGGTCCATATCTTTAAGTCAACAAAATAAAACAAAATTAAATTTTTCAAAAGGTAGTCTCTTCCAGTTCCAAAATATATATATATATATATATATATATATATATGCTCGTTGTAATTTTAAACATACAAAAATAGCAAAGAAATTCTGTCAATGTTGAATTTCTTCAACTTTGAAATTCTGTACGCTCGACGTATTTCGGTAGTTCATATAAATACATGTACTCTTGTGATTATAAACGTCGAAGGCGTACATCTGGTATTAGGGTAGGGGTGATATACATTCATGGTAGAAGAATACAGACATGGTACAATAAGGAGATAGAACAGCTTTGTAAAACTACAGAAATACAGCCCTGAGGCATATAATCAAAATTATATGCAACAAGTTGTTTTCATTTCCTTATTTCTTTTTTCATATTTTTTCCTCATTTTTAAAATGAATAAAATAGCGTGAAAATTAATAAAATGCCTGGATTTTCGCTCAAAAATATGATCCAAACTTTTCAATCTTTCAATTTTATGGCTAAACTGGTTAATAGCTTTAATGCACGAGCCGCAATCAAAGTGTCTTCCAATCAATGGTTTTAAAAATATTTTTTTTTATTAAAAAAATACACAAAATTGGCAGAAGTCGGGCACACTTAGAAAAAAATTGTAATTGTAAGCTCTACCTTAACTTTTTATTGTACCATGAATACAGGTAGATGCGTCAACGCTTGGGTACAAAATAAGTGGACTTGTATATGCTTTTCTATACAACGACAATCAAAGGTTGTTATGTTATGCATTTTTTCAAGAATTCTTACAAATTTGAATAAATTTTCATTCAAAAATGTCAATTCCAAAATTGGTTTGACAGTTTATTGTCCCAGCAGCTACATATGTCGATGCGGCTACCAATATTCTTCATTTATCTTTGTTTAAATTTTGAAAACTATTTAACAAATTATCCTCTTGTTGATTTTGTCATTTCAGCTGTCGAAAATATGATTATCGAAAAATACAATATATCTGAGGAGGATTTTAAGGTAATGGAAACGGTTGTATTAAAATCTGAACCACACAAAGCCGGAAAACAGTGGAAGTTTACAGGTGCATTCTACTATGCGACCACAGTATTGACCACAATTGGTTACGGTCATTCGACCCCAAGCACAATTGGTGGCAAATTATTTACCATGTGTTATGCAATTGTAGGCATACCACTGGGTCTGGTTATGTTTCAAAGTATTGGAGAAAGAGTTAATAGACTGAGCAGGTAAGTTGAAATTGAGCGTAACTATATGCAAATAAGTTTATATCGTTATTACAATTTGGAAGGAACTTGAAAATACCATACAAAAATCGTATGCAGGTCCCGTCTTTGTATAGCCCCCATATGACGGTACCTCCCGCTATTCGGTACCGTATTTTTAACAAATTTTTTGAAAATTGCCAAATTTCTTCTAAATAGTGGAGGGTATTCAAAGTTCGGCCCGGCCGAACTTACATCTTTTTTACTTGTTTTTTTTTTTTTTTTTTTTTCAAAATTATAGGAAAAACTCAGTGTATTATGAAAGTAGGAGCTAGAAGCAAAAAGTAAAAGTCTCGCCTATTAAAGGTTTGCATCACAAAATAGTCTAAATAGAGAGAGCAGGTTTCCATATCTTCGAAATTGGTAGAATTTTAAAATATTAAGATTCCTCGCCATAATTTTTGTATATTCTTTTGAAATTTTATTGAATGAAAGCAAAAAATGTCGGAAATAGCATCATATTTTAGAATAAGTTTAGATTTGTTCGAATTGGTCAACTGCGGCACGATTTATGCCCTTCAAACGGCCAATGAAACCGTCACACGCTGCCCGAATGTTGATCTACGGTATTTTGAACCATTCCCAGCGAAGCGCTTCCTTGAGGTAATCGACACAATGGCCGGCGTTTGAGTTCTGGTGGCCAACCGAAGGTGCACATATTCAGCTGACTTCTTTGGCAAGTAAACACGATCTTTTTGTTTGTTTAAACTGCTGGACAAGGTATTTTTTCTCATCGGAGAAAACCAAATTCGGCAATTCACCACTTTCGGCCCAGCGAAGCAACTCTCTTTCTGTTGCGGTGTAATTTCTTGCACTTTTTGGAATTTCAATGGCTTTGTCCCGAGCTCATTTTTTAATATTTGCCGACTGGAATATTGCGATATGTTCAGCTTACGAGTTATTTTTTCGGCCACTGCAATGCGGGTTTCGATCAAGTCGCTTCTTTACTTTCCGAACCATTTCTACTGATGTTGCTGTTTTCTTCCGTCCACTTCCTTGACGTCGGGCTACGCTACCAGTATCACGGTAACGAGCGATGGTACGAGGCACAAGAAATTTATTCACATTTAAATGCTGGAGTGCTCTAACGATAACCACTTGTGGTTTTCCAGCCAAATGTAAAGAAATCCCACCATCACCACTGTTGGACGAGTGTCTTAGAAATGACAGCAGTCTGAAATTGGTTGCAGTTCTTTAATCTCACCCTGTATAACGAAATATATACAATCTCATATATTAATGAAGGGAATGTTAGTTAGATTGCTTATAACTTAAGAACGGCTGGATGGATTTTGACGATTCCTACAAATTTGGAATGACATCTTGCCAGAAAACGATAAATAGAGGAAAATCGCGTGATCGCACGACCATAGCCTTTGCTTACTTGTTCTCTATTGTTATTATTTTTCCAATATTTAACTCCTCTTTCTGATATATATATTTTCTATTTGTTTTCAGTTTTGTTATACAAGCTGTGAGAAAATCATTGCATTGCAAACGAACTGCCGCCTCTGAAGTAGATTTAATATGCGTTGTTACAACGCTTAGCTCCCTAACGATAGCTGGTGGTGCAGCGGCATTTTCCAAATTTGAAGGCTGGAGCTATTTTGATTCAGTATATTACTGTTTTATTACTTTAACTACAATAGGTGAGAGGCCCGAAATGCATTTTATTTGAAAATAAATATATACTAAAATCTTCCCATGTTCCTTTTATCTTTTCATTCTTTTGCAGGTTTTGGAGATATGGTAGCTTTACAAAAAGATAATGCTCTTAACACTAAACCCGAATACGTTATGTTTGCTTTAATATTCATATTGTTTGGTTTGGCCATTGTGGCTGCTTCTTTAAATCTTTTAGTCCTTAGATTTGTTACCATGAATACGGAGGACGAACGCCGGGACGAGGCCCAAGCCATGCAGGTAATACGGCAGGATATTGCTATTGCACACACACACTATTACGTTAGATTGTTCTTGTTTTTTATTTTTTTTTTTTTTGTTTTTGTTATTGGTTTGTAGTCAATGGTTTGTAAATTGAAGAAGAACGAATGCGCGTCGTGTGATTTGTCCTGCATGTTGGTATGAGTGGTGTGTATGTGAGAGTGTGTAGAAAAGAATTAAAATATAATTTTTAATAGTTATGCTATCCAATTATAACATTATATTTTTTATACCACACACTACATTGAAATATTTCTCAACGCCTTGAAAACAGATATATGAATATATTTTCGCAAGTTCTTATTGACGCCTGATTTATTCGTATTAAAAGTGTTCTATAAAACACTTTGTTCATAGAGATCTGTAGACCAAATCATTTTAATCCCTCCGGACCAAACTTTTACTTTTATTTGAATAGGTAATGCTAATGCAAATACAGTGTTTCAATGAAAAACGCCGTAATTTTTACTTTTTTTAGTTTTATTGAATAAAAACAAAAATGTCGGAAATAGCATCAAATTTTAGAATGAGTGTAGGTTTGTTCGAATTGGTCATCTTTGGCACGAATTATGACCTTCAAACGGCCAATAAACCGTCACACGCTGCCACTTTGCTATTTTTAATGCCAACCTCGCTTTCCAAAATACATGCTCCAGACACAATAGTCCAACGGCTTGGTAGCCCGATATTTTGGTGGCTATTGTGTGCTGGAAATAAAGCGAGGAACCTCATTTTGTAACCATTCTTGGGTGACACGTTCTGAGTGCGATGGTGCTGAGTCCTGTTGGAATGTCCAAGGTCTGCGGGCAAAATGTTTGCGTGCTCAAGGCTTTAATACACCCTCCAGAATTTTTCCGCGACAATATTCGGCATTTAGTCGGAAAGCGACCATCGGCTGTTATGGCGGCCCACATCATCAATTTCTGGTGGCCAACCGAAGGTGCACATTTGGCAAGTAAACACGATCATTTTGTTTGTTTACAAACTGCTGGACAACGAATGTTTTCTCATCAGAGAAAACCAAATTCGACAGTTTACCACTTTCATCTATTTTCTTTCTGTTGCGATGTAAGTTCTTGCACTTTTTGGAACTTCAATGGCTATACCCCGAGCTCATAATTCAATATTTGCCGAATAGAATATTACAATATGTTCAGCTCACGAGCCATTCTTCGGCCACTGCGATGCGGGTTTCGATCAAGTCGCTTCTTTACTTTTCGAACCATTTCTGCTGATGTTGCTGTCTTCTTCCGTCCACTTCCTTGTTGTCGGGCTACTAGTATTACGGTAACGAGCGATGGTACGTGACACAAAAGATTTATTCACATTTAAATGCTGGAGTGCTCTAACGATAGTGATATGCATTTTTCAAAAAATTTTACAAATTTGAATAATTTTTCATTCAACATTTTCAATTCCAAAATCGGGTTGACAGTTCGTTGTCCCAGCAGCTGTGTCGATGTGACTACCTGTATTCTTCTACGATGGGTAGATTCATTTGCTACATTGAATATGGCAACCCTGGTGAACTCGGACTTGCCATTTTTTTCAATGAAATTTAGTTTGATATCTAAAATAAAATAAAAAATATATGTTACTATATAAATATTTTCGGCTTTCCATGGCAAGTAAAAACAGTTATATGCTCCATATCTTAGGAAGTCCATGTTTTCTTATCTTTTCTTGGACTTAAACATATGGAAATAGAGATTTGTCGCCGTTCATTTTGAGGAATCTTTAAGGAAACTTTCCTTCAAATTTCCTTAAGGTAAGATTACATAAAGCACTTATTTTGCTGGCTTCTTCAGAAAAGAACAAAGGAGCCTAGGGCCAAAATCGAACTAAGTCAACCTAAAACTCCTTTGTTCCTCTACAAAGAAGCTAGCCGATGACTCAAGTCAGCCAAATAAGCGCTTTATGTATTTCCACCCTTAGGACCACAACCCCAGAAGTATCAGCAGGAAAATGTTGTCAAATTCTTCACAACACCTGCTATATGGATTCTGTACTAAAACGAAAATTTACGCTGACAATTTCCTTTAATTAATTTAATGTCAATTAAACTGAAAATGAGGGATGACAAACTTCTACCAGTATTATAGCAAACAAGCCAAGAATTGTCTTCATACTAGTTCTAGCTAAAGCAAAATTCAACCATTCCATAATGAAGTCTTACACGACTTAGCAGATTAATATTTTAGTTTTCTCTTTAAGATTATTATTATGTTAGATATTTGTTTATCATTTGTTCTGTGATTTCAATCACAATAATGCATTTTGACATTGGATTTAGTAGTCAGCTGGCTTGGCAGGGGGACCTTATACTTAGAACTTTCGCATGATGTAAGGTATAAACGGTTTTTGTTCGTTTGAGATATCGGATATTGAAAAATTTTCACTCCAAACTCAATGCCATGATTATTTTGAAAATATTTATTTAAAAAATATAAATCTTATAGCACAATATGCATTACATACAAATATTTTTAGCACGTAAATTCATATACATTTGTACAGATTTTTATGAAATTTCAGCAGCTTTTTTCTAAAAAAAAAATCAAAAAAGTTAAACGAAATCTATGTTCAAGTGCGCTCTCGTTTGCTTGTTTTTCAGCTTTGTAGCGAAATTTTAATTTTTTCCACAAACTTCAGTCAAATAATGTTAGTTGCACATTACTTGATATCAGCACATTTAAATTTTCTTCTTCATTCTTAAAACTAGACAAATTTAAAAGAAAAATAATAATAACGTTTTTATTAAAGAAAATCAAATTTTTGCAAAGAAAAGTTATAAGAAATTATCATAACATGTTGTTGTTTTTTCTTATTTTTCCTCTCGTCAAATAATCATATTGTAAATCGGACCCCAAAACCAAAATACAAAACAAAACTAGTTTATGACCAAGTCCAATTTTTGGACAAGCGAGGTAGAGTTATGATTCAAATTTGAAAGATTATATTTCTTGTAATTATTAACAAAACAAAAAAAAACGAACTTTAGATTCTTGTATGTAAAACATGTGTTTTTTCTCAATTCTATTTCAAACTTAAAACAACTCTGAAACACCTAACAACCAACCAACACATTCTAAGCCAATCAACAATATCTATTTACCTGGTTATATTTTTTATAGTGAAAGACCCTTTAATACCAACAAAAAGAAATGAAACAGATCACAGAAACCACAACAATTTTGACTTCCTTACACTCTGTCTTTCTCTCTCTCTTTCCCTCTATCTGTTTGCTGAGTATGTCTGTCAAAGTCACATTTCCCACATTTCCGTTTCCTGTTTTAACCATTTTTGACTATGAAAGTATATGACGGCGAAATTCATGTTGTATTTGTGTATTTTAATAATTTTTATTATTTATTTTCAAGTGAGAATATATGTGTAATCTTTGCATGCCCCTTGTATTGGTAATTATATACTAATCGCCACTTCCTTTATCAAAACAAAATATTTCCACAATCCAGGCTCTCCAGGGTTCAGTTAAACTGGAAGGCGACGTAATCACTGCAAATGGTTCCATACTGAGCGGTTATGAAGGTCATGACGGTCAATCGTTCAGTGGTTCCAATATATCATCAATGTGTTCATGTCGGTGTGCATGTTTTAGTGCAAAGCGGCATAAAAGGTAAGTGTTGCAAAATGTCCAAAAATCTTTTGAGGTTTCCGAGGTTTTATTTTATAAATCTTACTACCAATTAAAGCTCTAATTTTCCACCACTTATGATTTGCTCTATGAATTAAGCAAATAAATCATTTTTAATATTTGTTTAGCTTATGGTTTAAAAAGTACTGCTCTCTTTTACTAGTAATAGCGTGGTATAATTAAATCAAGGCAAAGTCATTTCAAATAAAAAATATTCAGGTTTCTGCAGTTTTCCTTATCAAATTTAACTAGAAAGTACATTTAGATTTATAAAATGCACTTCATTTCAAACGTCAATTCCATAGCGTAATCGTCAAACAAGAGGTTTGTTTTGTGACTTTTCCTGCAGAAATTGACAAGACACTGCAAACGTCAATGCAATGAAACTATAAAGAGTAAACAAACGGGATCACTGAAAACACTTGCAAGCAATCAGCTGATTTGCCACAAATAGAAATGAAGTACGCAAAAATGTAAAATGAGCGAAAAAACAACAAGGTTTCAAATTTCCTAAATATCAAAATTTTGAAATTGCTTGTCCAAATATAAATCACCGAAAGGAGAAGAAGAAGATTTGCAAATGATTTCAAAACGAAATTTGTCCGGCAAGCGTTTGCAAACCCCACTAAAAGAAGCACCAAAATTGCTACCTCGAACCACTCTCCTTGGCAGAACTTTTGTGTTAACAAGACGACTTCCAATAACAATTTGCAACAATTGTTACAAATTTTAAAATAACCAGACACACCTAATATCTACTGGATTTATGAATAGGATTTACGTAATAAATACAGGGGGAGATAAAAAAAACTGCAACAAAGTCAAACGCCATAATTCTTAAATTGTTTTAATTGCATTGAATGAAAGCAAAAATGTCGGAAATAGCATGTCAGAAAAGCAAATTTTAGAATAAGTTTAGATTTGTTCGAATTGGTCACCTTTGGCACGAGTGCGATGGTGCTAAGTCCTATTGAAATGTCCAAGATCTGCGGCAAAAATGTTTGCGTGCCCAAGGCTTTAATACACTAGAATATTTTCGCGATAATATTCGATTAATACGACATCGGCCACCACCATGGCCGGCGCTTGAGTTCTGGTGGCCAACCGAAGGTGCACATTTTCAGCTGACCTCTTTGGCAAGTAAACAAGATGATTTTGTTTGTTTACAAACTGCTGGATAACGAATGTTTTCTCATCGGAGAAAACCAAATTCGGCAGTTCACCACTTTCGACCAAGCGACGCAACTCTTTAGCTTTTTTTGAGTCTATTTTCTGTTCTTTCTGTTGCGGTGTAAGTTCTTGCACTTTTTGGAATTTCAATGGCTTTGCCTCGAGCTCATATTTCAATATTTGCCGAATAGAATATTGCAATATGTTCAGCTCACGAGCCATTCTTCGGCCACTGCGACGCGGGTTTCGATCAAGTCGCTTCTTTACTTTTCGAACCATTTATGCTGATGTTGCCGTTTTCTTCCGTCCACTTCCTTGACGTCGGGCTACGCTACCAGTATCACGGTAACGAGCAATGGTACGATACATAAAAGATTTATTCACATTTAAATACTAGATTGCTCTAACGATAGAAACTTGTGGTTTTCCAGCCAATCATAAAGAAATCACACTATCACGCTTGAATTCAATCACGAAAAAACTTTTTTCTAGAAAATTCTCACCAAAATGCTTTTGTAGGCTTGTAAACAATATAATGAGCTGTCACTGCAACAATTTTAATAGCTGTCAGACGAGTGGCTTTGAAATGACAGCAGTCTGAAGTTGTTTGCGTTTATCAGTTCTAATTTAAATGAAGAATTACAATGTTCTATAGATCAAACACTTTTTAAACCATATGTTATTTTTATTGATTATTTTCTTTTACACCCAGTTAATTAACTATTGTTCTTTTATTTTTTTTCCACTCCCCCAACTTGTTTTGACAACCTAGTCGACAGTCTTCTTTAAATTCCTTTCAAGACAATACGTAAGTTGTTTTCCACTATTTTTTAATATATACACTTAATACTTACAAAATGTTGACCATATTAACATAAATATTTCCTTTCTCCCTTTTTAGGCATCAAATGAAAGGTCGACGCTCTCCATCATCCCATATGCGACACCTGCTACCCGAAGTTGTTCCAATGCAAGATTTAGGCTATGATTCACATAGTCTTAATCATCCTTTAGACGGCGTTGATGTCGTCGATACGAGTTCGTGTTCTCAGCCGCAATTACTTAAAAGAAATGTATCTTTATTATCGTTTCAATATAATATTTAATTTGCATTTTTATATACGAATCTAATTAGCTCTAAGTTTTGCTAGTTTTTATTGAATGTAGCGTTTTATTTAACATAGTTTTCATTAATTTAGTATTCTTTATTAATTTTCAATAATTAATTATGCCCCAACCCCCAAAAGGTTTATTCCTAGCTATTTATTAAACAAAAGAAAAAGAAATCCAAAATGAAACTGTATACAAGGGAACAAAACAAAAAATAAAATGAAAACATTCGATTACTATTCTAAAACATTTACAAAATTACTTACTTTATTTTCCAAGATGGAATAACTAAAAAACAAAAACAAAAAAGCCATACTTATGCTGAATGTTCAACTGCTTTCTTTTTCTTAATAGTCTTACAAAACTAAAGCAATGTTGAATTAAAAATGTTATAATTTCAAAAAAAAAAAACAATACATATTTTTGTGGATTTTTGTTATTGTCAAAGAAAATAAACCACTGCCATTCCCTCTGAAATAAAACACATTCACACAAATGAAAAACAAACAAACCCTTTCAAATGTATATTATCATAAAAGTGTGATTACACGGTGCTACTGGTAGAAATCGGCTTTTCACTTCAAGGACATTTTAAACTGCTATTCGATTCATTTATTTCACAGTTATATTTATTTAACCCATTTCTAAGCCAAGTATTATTACCATGCTTGAGTCCTCAACACCTATTTAAATACTCAATACCACATTAAATGTATAATTCCAAGAAAAAAAGCTCTGAAAATTTAACATCTCTAAGAAATATCAAAGAGATATGATAACAACGGTCCCACATTTAACTTCGATTATTCAATTCCCAGAATAGAACAGACTGGCCACAACAAGTAAGCAAAGGCTTAACGGGATGGATCTGCCATGGTGAATTTTGAAGTAATCCTTTAATAAAATCCTTTTGAAATAATGAAGATAATACAGAAAAACATATTTATTATTAATGAACGCCGACAAGATTTTAGTGCGGCTCTGTAATTCCTGTATGAAATGTCACAAAATATACCTAGCCATGACTTCAAGCTTCTTTTGTACCTACACCATTAGTTCTACCCATGGCATAATTACAGAAGGCAGAACAAAGCAACCCCCTAAATACAGTTTTTTTTATTCTGTCAAAACATACAATTATGTGATAAAACTGTATTGACCTACTATTTTAGATTCAATCTTGTAGAATAACCCCGGAATTCCATTATTGTTTCGCAGGTTTTTCCAAAAAAAAAAAAACAATTTTGTTCAAAAACATTAAAAGTAAACAAAGCGAACTGTTGTACATTTAAAAGTCTATTTGACACTATACGACTCCAGCACAGAGTTGCATTTTTTAGTTTCTTTGAAGTTGAGCAACCTCTCTTATTGAGCCATGGTTCTACCATGCCAATAAGTTTTAACCAGGTAATTCTTTGGGATAGTAAGAAAAATATTTCTCTTTGGCACAAAAATGGGGAAAAAAGTAAAAGGGCAATAGGCGTGTACAATCTCCCAACAATTTGTACAATTTATTCAAAATGCTTTTCGATGACCCAAAGTCTAATATATATTTTTTTACTTTTGTGAACTGCACTTCATTTTATAATGAACAAATTGCATTGTTTAGATAAATCAGCTGATTGCTTGCAAGTTTTTGCCGGGATTCCGTTTGTTTTCTTTTCATTGTAGAAGAAAATAAAACTACCTAATAACACATTCATACTTTTGAGGATTAGCCCACTGGGTTTAATAGATCCAGTGGGTTAACAAAACTAAATGAGTATACGAAAACTTGCCAAAAATTATTTTTCGAAAAAGCTAACATGAAGACAGTTGATGCTGAAAAATAAGTGCGTATTCACATTCTGTATTATCATGACCAATTACAATTTTAATTTTTTTGTTATAGTTAGAATGCAAAATGAAAACAAAGCCTTTGCAGAAACATTTGCATCTTTGGAGTGTACCACAGTACTACCGCTGTACCCATTGATGATTTCTATTAGTATGTAGATTCCACATCGGATTCAAAATAGATCCGATCGGGAGAAGATCTATTTTTGTATGGTAAATCTGGTTAAATAAATCCGGTTTAAGTAATAAATCCTGATAATGTGGATTAATCCGAATGAAATTTTGTATCTAAATGCGCTATAAAATTATAATTTTCTGTATTCTACGATACACACTGTTTTCACGATCTATTTATAAAGAATATGGTATTTTGATTATGCGTATGTATTAAGGAGTAAATTGTTAGTTTTGATAGATGAATGATGCCTATATTCTCCTATATCATATTGCCGGGTCAACTAAGAGCGCGTTTAGATTACTAAATCCATGCGATTTCAAATGTCAATTCTATAGCGTATACGTCATGTAAATTGTAAATTTTACTGATTGCACCATGGGTATTCTTAATTAACTGGTCATATGCTGAGGGTAACTTGTTTATTTTAAGTTAAAATTAAGAAACAGAGTATTAACCAACAACAACTTCAAGAGGAACGCATAATAAAAATTATGTGTTCAATCCGAAAAGTGTCAAAAATTTTTTGCAAATGCAATTTTATTTTTAGAAATTTGGAAACAATATTTAAATATGTTTCGCATTTCAGAGACAAAAACCTTATTTTACTTAAAGTTTAGCCAAAAAAAATTTGCCAAATTTGTTTCAGACACAAACCGTTAAAAGAAACAGTTGCATAGTGTAATTAAAATAGAAGAGCTTTGCACAAAACTTCCATTATTAAGTAGACAACCTGCATTTATATATTAAAATATAAAAAAACATTCTTCCTACCAAATTAAAAAACAGACAAAAATGCCATTAAAAACCCTATCAAAAATTCTGTTACTGTGAAATCTTCCCCAAACATACACAAAAAAAAAAACAAAGAATGTACTATCGTAGAACAGCCATATCTTTATGATAAATTAAAAAAAATACATATATTAAAAAATTCTTTTAATTAGCCAAGGTAACAGAGTCACAAATACTAAAGAGACACAACTGAATGTAAGACGAATTTCCGTAAAAACTCGCAGCGAATGAAAAAAAATATAAATTATTTGAGTTTTTTATTTTTTTTATTATTTATATTATTGTTTTTGTTATACATAAAGACAAACAAAACAAACACAAAGTTGTAAATATAAATAAAAGAAATGCTTTTTTCTTCCTCTTCGTATTGTAGTTATTATAAAATAAATTTCAATTTATAATTAGTTTAAGCCAAAAACAGACAGAAACACAAGAAATATTGTTCTGAGAAATGACAAAAAAGTACACATGTACATATTTATTTGAATAATTAACATTTGGACTGAAAATATGATTTCATGAATCTTTGCCGAGTATAAGTACCTTTACATACAATACTGTAACGGGGTAAACCTTGTTTATTGACTAATTACAATGAATCTGACCACATAAAACAAATCCTAAATGTATTGTGATTGGAGTGAATCCGGGTTAGCCCTGATTATTGACTTATCACAATAAATCTGACCATATAAAACATACCTTAAATATATTACGTTTGGTCAATTACCAGTATTAATCCGGGTAGAGATTTTGTATGTAAACGTACTTTATGAAGCGGCTAGGTAAGGGGCATTGAGTTACATTTTATAAAAGTACCTTTACGTACAAATCTTTGTACGGGTTAACAGTGATAAAGAATTCAATAAATTTGACAATGGAAAATATACATCAAGTTTATTGTGATTGGTCACTCATAGCTGTAACCCCGGCTAATAATTTTGTATGTAAACGCGCTATAACTTCATGCCATCTTGATATCATGATAGAAGAATACAGGTAGATGCATCAACGCATGGGGACATTGATATGCCAAAGTTTTTTTTAAATTTTTTTCAAAAATAAGTTTTTTATTATACGAAACCAAACAATTTTTCAATATTAAAAATTTTTAATTTAAAATTTTCAATTTCAAAATTGGTTTGACAGTTCATTGTCCCAGTAGTTGTGTCGACGCGACCACCTGTATTCTTCTACCATGGCGTACACGCAATGTAATTAACAATTGTTATCATTATATATGGAAACATGCTTTAACAATCATGCCTTTATATTATTATTTAATAATAATATAATTATTATTTTGATTTTTTTCCTTCAACTTTTGCAATTGTTTCAGTCCATTTCCAGAAATAAATTAAATAGAACGACATTTTATTTTATTTTCAAAAATTAAAAAAACAGCTAATGCAAACCAAAAGTTTGGATAGGTTAAAAGAAATACAATTATATAGTTACGTTTTAAATATATTACAATAACAACAACAAACACAAACAAAACTTTAAAGAATAAAATAAAACCAACTTTATTATAGATTTTTTCAAAATATAAAACAAAACCAGGAAAATTTTAAAAATTTAATTAAAAAACAAGAATTTAAATAAGACTTTGTAATATATTAACAATGAACTAATGAATGAAAATAAAAATAATTAAAAAAATTTATATAATAAATAAAGAAAAACAATATTGTTTTATTTCAAGTTTTTCGCCAAGTATTTTTATATGTCTTGTTATATATCATGGCAGAAGAATACAGGTAGTCACATCGTCACACCTGTTGGGACAATAAACTGTCAAACCGATTGTGGAATTGAAAATCTTAAATGAAAATATTTTGAAATTCCTAAAAAATTGCGTCGTCTAAAAAGAAACATAAAGATCTTCTTATTTTTGACTAAACACTTTAAAATTTTTGACATATTAATGTTCCCGAGCATTGTTGCATCTTCCTATATTCTTCTATCATGTTATATATAGATTAATGCAGAAATTATCCAGCATCTTCTTTCTCAGAGAGTAATAGTGCGTTTATACTATTACAGATTAATCCACTCGGCTTAATAGAACTGGGTCTTGGGAGGATATTATTGTCCGAATGAATTTTTTTTATTTAAATTCATATTTTGAAAAATACATTCGGAATGTAGTTTTTCTTTCCTTTTCGTCATACTAAAACAGAAGCTTATATTTATATGGGTAATATGATTAAATAAATCCGAATTAAGCTATAAATACTGATAAGGTGTATAAATCCGTATACAATATTCTATCTAAACGCAAACCGTTAAAAGTAAACAGACGTTCACCTTTTAAAACTGCAACCAATAATCTGATTTTTTAAGGCAAACAAATTGTCATTAAAAAACCAAACCATGTAAAAATGTTGTATTTCATTAAATATAAAATTAACAAAAATATTCAAATTTTACAACGTTATTCTCC